TTCTAGGTCTGGGCGCCCTGGTAGTATCTCAGCCCACATACAACCACTACTTTTTCTTCAAAGGTAAACTTCATCCTGCATAGTCCGTCATACAGATTAGCAAACGTAGCCTTATCTGCTGCATACAGCAAGTCGGATAAGCGAAAACATACTACTGCTGGCGCCTCCCTTCTTTCTATTCCACCTCTTTCTCTTACTCCCATCCCGACCCCCATTAGTAACCTTCCTTCTATAATTCCCACCTTAACTACCAACAACCGAAGTGTCACTGGAATAGACCTATCTGCAGCCACCATCCCACAACACCCATCGGACGCCTATTGGGGAAAGTCCGTTATTAAGCCACGCTGTCCCGTTTCCATAAAGACGTTCAACGTTCGCACTCCAAGGCAAACAGATAAACAGGCTGCACTCGCACACACCTTGAACACACAGGGTATTGATGGGTGTTGTGTGTCCGAAACTAGGATCAATGACCCTAATGGGGTTGTTGAATTAATTGCACCCGACTTATACTCTCGTTATTGGTTGCACGCATCCGGAGATGCCGATGCAACCATCACGGGTCAAGCTGGTGTGGGTATCATTCTAAGCTCCAAGGCTGAGCCATCACTAGTTGCTTGGATTCCGGTGAACAGCCGTTTATGTGCAGCCCGTTTGACGACATCAACTAAGGTTGATTCACGAACTAGTACAAAACGCTGTTTGTTTGTGATTTCCGCTTATGCTCCCACCGACTGCGATCCTAATGCTGGTAAGACCACATTCTATCACGAACTGAACGCGCTACTGCGCAACGCTACTAGTTCAGATATTATAGTACTTGCAGGGGATATGAACGCACATGTAGGACGTCTGAGCTCTTCAGAAGCTCAGCTGGGTGGCAGTTATTGGCTTAACTCCAAAAGGCTGGACAACGGCTAGCTTCTGCTGCAACTATGTGCGGCGCACCAATTGTTTCGTAGTAGCACTGCTTTTAGACACAGTGAGCGCCGAAGTGCCACTTGACGTCCCTCTATAGCTGGCCAGTGATGGACCCAAATTGACCACATAGACATACGATACATGTGGCGTGGTTCCATCCTGGATTGGCGCTGGTACTGGAGTACTTGTGTCGACTCTGATCATGCCTTCGTACGCTGTCGTTTCTCCATGAACTTTACCGGAAGGCGCACCAAGCGTCATCTCCGATTGGCAAATGAGAAACTGCTTCAGCTCTCGGTCAGTCAAGCCTATCAAGATGCACTGTATACCGAATTGTCTTGTTCTAATGACACTGAGCTTCAGTGAAATAGGATTTCGGCCGCCAAGCACAACGCAGGAGCATCACACTAGTCACTGGATATCCGAGAGAGCGGTGAACCTGTTGGAATCTAGAAGAAACCTCCCTGCTGGTTCTGAACACACTGTGACCAGATGGGCTATTAGGCGCGAACTAAAGCGGAGCCTACTTGCTGACAAGGAAGACTGGTGGACCACTAGGGTTAAAATATGGAGGCAACAAGAGCAGTAGGCAATTATCGTAAGAGTTTCCAACTGATCCGCAACACTGGTTCCAGGAAATCAAGTGTCAGTGAGACAATCAGAAACAGCGCGGTGCACTGGTGCACAATAAGGAGCACCGTATGGCTCGTTGGGCGGAACACTTTCGAAATCATTTCAGCTGGCCCCCTGATCCCGGACCTCTTCCTACTCAGATGATGCAGAACGAGCCAAGGACTGTTAGTTTAGAGCCTCCGTCGGAGGCCGAGGTCCCAAACGGGATCACAGCCCTCAATCATTTTCGTGCCGCTGGCCCGGATTCCCTCCCACCTGCGCTATTTATGGATGGAGGTGAGGTACTCTGCAAAGCACTTACCTCCCTATTCGAACGTTTCTGGAAGGAAGGGCGTGTCCCGGCTGATTGGAACAAATCGATTATAGTGGCAATATACAAGGAGCGCAGTCGTACAGTCTGTTCTAATCACAGGGATATATGCCTAACGCCAGTTGTGACAAAATTACTGGCCTAGATTCTCATTCGTCGCCTCACTGTGGAACGGGAATCTCGGATTAGGGAAGAGCAGGCAAGTTTCCGCCCAGGATTTGGCTGTATAGACCATATATTCATTTTGCGGCAGATGCTAGAGCAACGCCACCCATACCGCAGACCGACAATAGCTGTTCCTCGATTTCAAGAGTGCGTTCGATTCTGTCGATCGATCGATTCTGTTCGAAATACTTGCGCGGAAACGTGTTCCCACGAAATATGCGAACCTCATACGTCCTCTATACTCGAACACTACAGGCCGCGTCAGTTCCTACGATGACCTGTCGGATAGCTTTCGGACCACAAGTGGCATTCGTCAGGGTTGTCCGATTTCCCTATTTTTGTTCCAGTTCGTCGTGGATTTTATTATGGAGTGTTCCCTTACGGAATCTCACGATGTAGACGGTGTGCTAGTGTCTGGTGAAATGGTAATTGACCTATATTGTGCGGGCGATATCGTCTTGCTTTTTGACAATCTTGCGGCGGCACGATCAATCCTGAATAGCCTGTCCAGAGTGGTCCCATTATTCGGTATGCACTTCGCACCTTTGAAGTGCAAAGTGTTGCTGCAAGATCACTAGCCACTTTATGACCCCTTGACGCTTGCAAACGAGGAACACGAGGTGGTTGATCAATTCACTTACCTTGAAAGCTGCATCAGCAACGATGGGCGCATAGAAACTGACGTCAGCTCTTGCGTTGCAAAGGCCAGAACTGCCTTCCTGAACCTGCGGCACCGTTGGTGACAGAAGGGAGTTTCCCTTCGTCTGAAAGGCCGTGTATTCAAGGCCACAATGAGGGCCGTCCTGCTCTATAGTAGTGAAAGTTGGTCCTTTCTTTCTGAAGACCTGAGACGCCTTCAAGTCTTTGATCATCGTGGTCTGCGAAGCATTGCTCGGGTCGGATGGCAGCAGCCTGTCCACAACGATGATGTGTGTAGGCGAGTATTACGTAGTGATAATCATGCTAGCTCCCGAGAACAATAGATAGCACTGAATAAGTTGCTTTGGCTAGGGCACGTGCTACGTATGCCTAGTCACCTAGGAGGGCCTTGTTTAGTCTACCAGGTGTAGGTTGGCGCAAGGCTCGAGGTGGACAGATATTGACTTGGAAGCAGGAAATTAAATCACTGACGACCAAACTGGGTGCCGTTGGTCCGTCTCGCCTTCCGGGCTGGAGTCCACTTGACTCGCTTTGTGCTTGGCTCGAGACTTTACAAAACATGGCTCGCAATCGACACCAGTAACGTGTCTGCTGCCGTCTCCGAACCGGATTGCCTGTTTCAAGTGTGTTTGGTGCTGAGTTATCTGCGGGGTAATGGCTGATTATGACGCGGGGCAATGAAACTGTAAGGGAGCTCTTTCGCCGATGCTGCCTTATCATTGCACGATAGCCAGCTGTTTGTGACGGTATGTTTTCTACACAAGGTGTGGGCTCATTGACCCTGAATGTTTGCTTAGGACATAAAGGTTTTTGGTTAGTCCCTTCTCTCCCTCTTGTTATTCTTTATTTCATGGGTCATCATGGTTGTATGGCAGCGAAGCATCAGTTCAAATGACTGATGTACAGCTGTTGTTGACAATGATGATGATGAGGAGGATGGATAACTGTCTGGCTTCTGAGGTGAGATACCATAGCCTCTATCTACTACAAACAGGCGTAAGTGGGAGCACGGCGTGTTTAACCTGACATCTATCCGATATTATTGTTTATGTATTGCGCAATTGCTAATGTGGTCATGTGAACTCGAATTGGTGATCTTCATCCCATAAGTAGGAGCAGCAGTCTTAACAATACTAGAATCAAATTGAATTGCTTTGGTGAATGTGTTTTATGGACGAAGGTTCACATACTTACCATGGATGCGCTAGCAAATCATTCCCATGAGTAATATAACTTTATTGAGGTGCCTCTCAGCTATTTTCCAAATCAGATAGTCGTGCACATTCCCGGGAAAGAGCCAGACTGCAGTTTCAGCCTGTTGGTCATCGTCAGTAGTACGCATCCATTGGGTCAATCAGGATTCGAACCCATGACCACCAGGTGGTTGAACCGTCAGTCAGCAGCTTATGCCACGGAGCAAGGGGGGCAGCTTCGAACAGTCATGATTTACAAGCTAACTGCGATATAGCGCGTCTTATCCTCCAGGCATGTGGACGACTATCTGATTTAGAAACTGGCTGCGAAGAAGTTCAATTAATTACATCAAAATCCCTTACCCATGAGTAAATCAAAATGTAAATTTGGCCAATTAGAATTTTTCCACTTATGGCCAATGTGCATAGATTAACCCGATGTCAATGAGGAAATGCTTTTCCTATACGACTGGTGTTTTTCCCTTTTCATGTTTGAAAGTGGCATGAAGTAGGTATACAGACCTAATAGTGTTCCCTAACACGCCACTTTAGTTTCGCCATTGACCAAGCTCCAGCAAACACAACGATCCCTCTCGGAAGGTAAAAAACCTGTGATATTGTGTACAGTTTGTAGCTGTACTTCCTTAAATAAGTTGCTTTGTTTATTGTCAAATAATGCTGCAACTGCTCAACACTGAACCATAGCGTCGGCTGCCGTTTACTTACAAGGAAACATCTCTAGTTGGACTTCTGTGTTAGACTACAGGATTCTTTCCCTGTCGACTGTCTAGATGACTGGTAGTCATAAAGACGTAAAGGAAACACTTCCACACTATCCACAACGTAGATTAACAGATTACTGCCTGTGAATGATGCACTCAATTCCGTAAAGCTCACGGAGTTGCACCAGCTGGAAATTTAAGTGCTTGTACTTTGTATAAACTATCGCTTCATATGGGCGATTCAACGCTGAAAGTGGAACAACTATTAGCCAACCCGAATTATGCCATTACTTAGAGATAAGTGCCTGTTTTTTTATAGTTTCATATATTTATCCTTTCTGGGAAACAAGTTAAGTCGTTCTCGGTGTCCGGTTTACATTATGCCGACTTCAGCTCACTGCAGGTCTGCGGTCAGATTCGGAACTGGTGCTATTCCTACCAACTGGGCACTCACAGAAGCCGAAGGTTGACCAACTTCGGTACATCCGCGTCCAGCTGCCGCGACCATACGTCATAAGCCTCAGCTGTGGTACAGTCAGTCTGCTGCCTAGGTCACAATTTGATTCAATTGGAGAAGAGCTATCCAACCAGCTACGACTGACCGCTGCAGAGAATGGAAACGAAATATATCTGTGGATACGTGGTAAGTGGTTTAGAGTCCAATCGTTAACCAAGGCAATGCTTTTGGTAAAAATGATTACGGAGTACGTAATCAGTAAGAAACCCACAGATGAATTGTCAGAAACATTCCGATATTCAGCAGATTCAGTTAGTGCTATCGCCCATTGTACGCTATGGTATACATTTGTGTATAATTACATGTAGAGAGTTGGAGCACTAAATAGCTGCTAGCTTGTTAAGCTTTTGTGGTTTAGTACCGTTTTGTTTATTCACTATGAGAATATGAATCCGTGGCAGTATATCTGAATACATTCTCCGTTTGTGTGGTCAAAAATGACACGTACCAATAAGCTGAGCTTAGGATTGCGGTAAATATAAATATTTATGAGACCCTTGGAAACATGTACCTTTCTGTAGGTGTTACAGACTTTTACATACATTTTTCTTATTTAGCTGTTTCAAGGAATGTGACTGATGAACTTGGAGCTCAGAACGAAAAGCTATTTCGCGTTAAGCTTTAGTAAGTATACATCACTTTCTGTTCCCATTGTCCATTGTTCATTGTTCACCCGCTTTCGTCTACATCAAAGAAGCTGCACTTGGGGGTTTATGTAAGCCTACTAAAATGATGAGCTGAAGAAGTGTTGTATAGACAAATATAGACAAGTCTCGTTGATGTTGAGATTGTATGCGTTAATTTCTTAGGGAGATTTGACCTACAATCTAGATGCATTTGGTGTAGTCAACGCCATGAGTATGGGTCTAATAGGAAATCATCAGTATTAGATGGGATCCTCTATTACGGAAAGTGGTAAAACACATGGCGTTCACATGGTGATTTAAGGTTGCGGTTTCCTTAATCCTACTCGTATCTGATCTTGAAACTAGGATTTCTCTTGCATGCGCAATGATTACGGCAGTTGCTAACAATATAATTGTGAACCTTAGTTCTGCTACGGTGAGACATGTGGAAAGAAGGCTGGTCGCCTAAACGTATTACCGTTTCAGCTGCCAAATACATATGGTTGGCGGCATCCGGTTCCAAATTTGTTTGTCACTGTGGTCAGCCACAAGAAGCTTGGGCCTACAGAAGGACCATGTATGGCTTGCGCTGCACCACCCACAGCTCCATCCACACATCCCACGTCCAGCGTAAACCCGATGGAATAGGACCGGAAGGCATGTGAATGGGAACCACGTCTCATCAAAGTCGTCGGCTCGCACTCCTTCACAGGTAAAAACAGGCGCGCTGTATTTGGGGAATCAAACGCACACAAGTCAGTGGCTGGACCGTAGTCCGCTCCACACTGAGTGCATGGCACCACTGTTCGAGCCTAGCACGGCCATAACGACCGTGCACCCCGTCCCCTCCAGCAACGACCAACTGTCTCCTGGAGCCAGTATGGACGAGGTAGTGGGTAATAGAGAGGTAGGCACCTTGTCAACATGCACATCAAGCGCAGCCACACCGGGGATGTCAAACAACAGCCAATCACTTGAAATGACAGTATCAAATAAAATATAGCGGTTAAAGCATACAGTTATGCCGACAAAAGTCTTCGCCTAATTAGCTTATGAAATAAGTTAATTAGCAATAAATTCGCGAAAGTAAAAACGTCCAGAATCTACTCACAAAATGCTACAAAGACAATAAAGTAAACGACGATAACCACAATTATCGTAAGCAGCGTGGTAAGTTAATAGAAGATTATTCAGGTAGGCAGAACAAACCAAATAAATTGGAAGGAACTTTATCCGGCTTAAAACGATTTAGTTCAAGTGTAGGTTAGTTTATTCCAACTGCGGTGAAGGAGCATCATAAATGTAACATTAGCTTCTACATGGGGTATGCCATATATATATATATATATATATGTACATGTATATATATATATATGGCGGGAGAGCCTATGGTGCGCTGAGGCTGGTGGTGGCTAGATCCTGACAGATGGTCTACCCACTGCTGCTACTGCTGCGCCATAGTCTCATGTCCTGGGCGCCTCCACGTGGCGACCGCTGGGTAGGAGTTGGGTTTCGCCCTTCTCCCTGCTAAGATCCAGGACACCAATCCGCATGAGTCGGCTAACTGACCATGTGCTAGACCCGCTGCCTTTCGGGTGTTCATTCGATCGAACGCTTTGGCTGAGAACCCGAGTCGTTCTCCTGTCAGGTGTGGGCGCCCTGGCAGTATTCTAGTCCATCTTCTTCGGAGGTTACGAAGTGGTCGATGGACCTCTTCCCGTAAAACCTAGCCATGGGAGACAACAGGTTTACGGCTTATAAGCTCACAGCTCGATTGGCGTAGAGCACGAGTGCCACGCATTGTCTCTGACGGTGGGAGGACACCTCCGGGTGTTCAATGGTTTGCTACTGCCCGCCTCAAGCCAGGCAGCCCCTGGCCAAATTGGTGCAAACCCGCCAAAAACCCACCTGCGTCTGGCCGTGCTCGCAGGTGCGTATCCAATTACGGTCGCAAAACATATGGTAATTGTTCCAGAACCTCAAAGGCTGCGTGTGACGGCCGTCAAGCAGATCCCAATCTGTCTCTGCAATCACATTCCCGAGCTGGATCTGCTCTCCACTGCCTTGTGGGTCAGGCTATTGAGCCAAAGGCTCCGGGTGGAGTCCCTCAAGCAAACCTCCAAACAAGCCACTGTCTTGTGGGTCAGGCTATTGAGCCAAAGGCTCCGGGTGGAGTCCCTCAAGCAAATCTCCGAAGCACAACGACCATCTCGCGTGCGATTGCCCACCAGTGCAACCGTATGCCTGCACGCAACGCATTCAGCATCGGGTGCTGGAACATGCGCACACTACTGGACCAGAACTCCAGCGAGCGCTCGGAGCGACGCAATGCACTGGTCGCGATGGCGCTGGCGCGCTACAACATCGATATTGCGGCGCTCAGTGAAACTCGGCTCGCTGAGCAAGGTAAGTTGCATGAAGCAGGTGCTGGCTACACATTCTACTGGGCGGGCAACGCCGCCTCAGCACCACGTGAACATGGGGTCGGATTTGCAATATCCGACTGCCTCCATGGCCAGCTGGTGGGTGAACCAACAGGCATCAGCGCGCGACTGATGACTGTTCGCCTACGACTCGGAAGAGGTAAGTTTGCTACTTTTATAAGCACGTACGGTCCGACCATGTGTTATCCTGATGACACGCGTGATCAGTTCTACACTGAGCTATCCTCCGTGATACGGTCTGTGCCGAGGAGCGACCGACTATATCTGCTGGGTGATTTCAACGCGCGCGTTGGGCGTGATGCATCAGCGTGGACAGATGTTATCAATCCGCATGGCATTGGTTCAGCGAATGCGAACGGTGACAGGCTGCTTTCACTGTGTGCCACTCACCGCCTGACGATCACGAACACTCGGTTTGCACTGAGTGCGAGTGATATAGCAACCTGGACTCACCCACGGAGTGGTCACGCCCACCTGCTCGACTGTGTCATCGTACGTCAGCGTGATATGCGTGAAGTGCGCATGACACGTGTACTGTGTGGAGCTGAGTGTGGCACTGATCACAAGTTGGTTCGGACCAAACTGTACATATATTTTCGTAAATCTATGTATTGCACTTCCGCCGTGAATCGGCGTAAATTTAACATTCTCTCCCTCGGTACTGTGGCGAAACGTACTGAGCTGGAGAAGGCGATGGCTGCACGCCTGTTTGGTGATGTGGAATGCATAGCCACAGTGGGCGACCTGTGGCACCACATTCGCGACCAGGTGACAGCTGCTGCCGAGGAGACCATCAGGCGCGCAAACTGCTAGCGGCCTGATTGGTTTGATGACAACAACGCGACGATCGGCGCATTGGTCTCGGAGAAGAATGCAGCATTTGCTGCACATGTTGCAGATCCCAGTGACTTGGGGAAGAACAGTCAGTTCCGCAAACTTCGACGGCGACTGACCCGAGAGCTCCGTCGCATTAAAAATGCATGGTGGACGGAGAAGGCGAAGCAGATGGAATGCTACGCCGAAAACCGTCAACACAAGGAATTCTTTGACTCGTTGAAGGTGGTGTATGGACCGAGATTGGAGCCGCTGAGGACACTGATCGATGGTAGTTGAGGCGCTACCTGCACCCAGACTGCAGACATAATGCAGCTCTGGCGGAAACACTTTGACTGTCTCTTGAACAACCGTTCAGAGATCGACTGGCCTAGATTGAACGGCCTGAAGCAGCACAATGTGAAGGCGAGTCTGGCGGATACGCCGACACTGGATGAGACGCAGAGAGCACTTGCTCAGCTGCGAAACGGCAAGTGTGCCGGAGCCGACAGGATCCCGCCTGAAGTATTGAAACACGGTGGACCCGCGTTGTTGACTGCGCTGCACCACTTGGTGCAACGTGTATGGATTGAGGAGGAGGTGCCTGCTGAGCTGAAGGATGCCCTTGTGCTACCACTGTACAAGGGCAAAGGTAGCAAGCAATGTTGCACGAATTATCGTGGCATCAACTTGCTGAGTTGTGTGGGCAAGGTGATTGCCCGAATCCTGCTCAATCGCCTCGTGAGTCAGGTTGTGGAACCTAACGTGGCGGAAGAGCAGTGTGGATTCCGTTCGGGTCGCAGCACTATAGATATGGTGTTTGCGGCTCGTCAGTTGCAAGAGAAGTGCAGAGAACGACACCAGCCATTATACTCGCTTTTTGTTGATTTCACCAAGGCATTTGATACGGTGAACCGCGAGGCATTGTGGCTGGTGTTGGGTAAGTTTGGTTGCCCGCGTAAGTTTGTAAGTTTAATTGGATGTCTGCACAGTGGTATGCGAGCGCGGGTGCAGCTGAGTGGAGAGACCTCGGATGACTTTGCAGTTGTCTCTGGTGTGAAGCAAGGCTGTGTCTTAGCTCCTGCCCTGTTTAATATATATCTTCATGCAATGTTGTCTTGTGCTTTTGATGCCGCTTGTGCTTACGGTGTTCGTGTGGAGCACTGTATTGATGGTGGGTTGCTGAACATCCGTCGTTTCGGTGCGAGAACTCTAGTCTGTGAGACAACTATCCGTATGTTGCTGTTTGCTGACGACTGTGCATTGTTTTCACACAGCGCGGATGAGTTGCAGCACATGACTAGTGCTCTGGCTTCGACAGCGTCCAAATTCGGGATCACCATCAACACAAGCAAAACTGTCTGTCTCTTTCAGCCTTCACCGGAGGTGCAATCTTCAATATTGCCGCGAATCAGCATTGGTGCTGAAGTATTGGAAACCACCTCCCGCTTTTGCTACCTTGGGAGTGTGATATCGACTGATCAGCAGCTACACGTTGAGTTGCGTAATCGCGTGTCGAAGGCGGCAGCGGCATTCGGGAGGCTTGAGTACCGAGTGTGGAACAACCATCAGCTTAGCATTGGCACGAAGCTGATGGTGTACAAATCCATGGTACTGTCCGTTCTTCTATACGGCAGTGAAACGTGGACGATGTACTGTCGGGATGTGCGATATCTCGAGCGGTTCCATCAGCAGTGTCTGCGACGAATTTTGTGGATCGGTTGGGGTGACAGAGTTGCAGACACGGAAGTGTTGCGCCGAAGTGGGATGTATGCAGTGGACTGCATACTTTTACTGAAACACCTGAGATGGCTCAGTCATGTGAGCCGTATGGATTCGGCGCGGATACCGAAACAACTTTTATACGGTCAGCTGAGTATTGGGAAGCGGCACGTGGGGAAACCAAAGTTACGTTACCAGGACATGATTAAAGTGAGCCTCACACGTTCTAATCTTGATTGCAGATCATGGGAATCGAAGGTGGTTGATCGTGGTGCATGGCGCGATCTAATCACGAAGGCAGTTGCTGAAGTGCGGGAGAAAGCCCTCATGCATGTAGAGAAGAAGCGGCAAGTGCGGAAGCGGCAAGCACCGATGAATTGTACTCCATCGACATCGAGCGCATGGTGCTGTAGAACATGCGGTCGCGAGTGCCTTAGTCAGGCAGGCCTAGTGAGCCATGAGAGAGGTCACTCGGGACCACTGCCGAAGCGACGACGGGTTCTGCAGTGAACGTAGGCAGCACCGGCGCAGCGTTTGTAGGCACGCTGAATTCGATTTACTAACCGCGTGCTTGCATGCTAAGTCTCTTTATTTCAGGTGGTGGGTTTTCACTTTTGCCTTAATGCTTTTCTTTCTCGTATAAATATCTACGTGTACTCTATTCCATTAACTTGCACACCTCGCTTAAGCCAATGGTATTCGATTTCCGTAGCATATTTGTGTTCGTGGCATTCCGTGAACTATACTTTCTGACCTCGTGCACTTAGCTAGGATTTGTTTGTAAACAACTTATTACATATGCTCATTAACTTAAGGTTTATGTCACCGTTTCCTTATGCATTAATCGAGTTTTTCTCTTTTTTCTTTTTCTCTTTCTCTCTCAAGTGATTGGCTGTTGTTTGATATCCCCGGTGTGGCTGCGCTTGATGTGCATGTTGACAAGGTGCGTACCTGTCTATTACCCACTACCTCCAGGAGACAGTTGGTCGTTGCTGGAGGGGACGGGGTGCACGGTCGTTGTGGCCGTGCTAGGCTCGAACAGTGGTGCCATGCACTCAGTGTGGAGCGGACTACGGTCCAGCCACTGACTTGTGTGCGCTTGATTCCCCAAATACAGCGTGCTTGTGTTTGCCTGTGAAGGAGTGTGGGCCGGCTCCGTTGGTGAAACGTGGCTCCCATCCACATGCCTCCCGATCTTATTCCTTCGGGTTTACACTGGATATGGGGTGTGTGGATGGAGCTGTGGGTGGTGCAGCGCAAGCCATCCATGGTCCCTCTGTAGGCGCAGGCGTCCTGTGGCTTGCCACAGTGACAGGCAAATCTGAAACCGGATGCGGCCAACCATATATATATATATATATATATATATGTATATATGCATGCGAAGCTTTTGTGAACGTTAAGGTTAAGCACAATGACGGTGCTAACGGCTACAGCCTACCATGCACACTGTTAGACACATATACTGCACCATCTGCCCCAGCTTTATAGATGAGATCATTGAACAGAATTTTGTAATTTCTCAATCGCATGAGAGGATAAATTATTTCATTCACATCATGGGCTGTACCTTCGTTTCCTTGCTTCACACCAGTAAAGGATATGCAACCAAAGAAAGATAGTGGATGGTAACGCAAGCCAGTTTTTCGCCTGAATTTAGTATACCTATTTTAGGGAGGCAATCGTGATTGAAATTTTTGCACCTAACGTAAAAGCAAGAAGTGGTTTGTATGATAAAAGTGCTTAATTCGTCGGTTGACCGACTGTGAGTATAGAACCGGAAATAGAGTGACTTAGTGGAGGTTGGGGTGCTTCCGAGATGGAAGTGACTGCTGGCATTGGTAACCATCGCCTGTGATTCCGTTTGATACTGTAAACCGACAGCGGGAGATGCGGTATTAATGAAAATATCTGCGAAGAGGTTAGACAGCCTATTCACAAGTTGCGGAAACGCTACGGGCTTGAGCCTGGACAATTTGAAAGGCAGTGTAATTGACCGGAATTTTTAAATTCGTCACCGGCCAGTGCTCGTTATGATCCCTTTGGACTCGCCCTCTCTCTCATAAGTCCAACGTGACCTCAGACTACTGTAGCTGAATAAAGCCGCTGGACCAGCTGATGTTCATTTATCTCTCATTAGCTTCAGGGTTCATGCTGTTGTTTCTGTTGTACAGGTATTACTAGGGAAACTGCGAGGGCAGGAATCTGCCCTAACCGACTGGAGCCGCTCCGTTACTGTCACAATCTTCAACAGAGGCGCAGGTTTGATTTATGTATATATATATATATATATGCATATATATATATATATCAAGCTAACACCGAATTTCACTTAAACCTGGATAAAACGTATTTCACTTTATTTGCTTTGCTCAGTTCTGCGACTCTCCTGCATATTCGTTGTCAATTTTGTGTGTTTCATTTCATTCAAATTCAGTATTGGTTGTTTGATATCCCCGGTGGGGCTGCGCTTGATGTGAATGTTGACAACATGTTTACACAGCGCGTTAGCTAAATTCAACTTTGAATCGCTTTCCGCTGTGCCAAGCACTGCTCGCGGATCTCAATAGCATAGTGTTCAGAGCGTCACAGCCGTAAACTACTAGGCTTTGAGTTTCACCCGAGCTCAGGCTATCTCCACCTGATGAGTACAAACCAGGACGAAACCGCGGTCTTGGTGTGCCAGCGTTGCAAGGGACAACACCCAGATATTTTCATTCCGGATACGACCATCGCGATCGGAATGACCGTGGTCTACCTCAAAGTGAAGCGTGGTCTCACTAGAGGTTGCGAGTCCCAACCCAACCACACAGCGTGTTCGCTAAATTCAACTTTAAAGATGTCTGTCAGTATATTACCCTCCATATCATTTAAACTGACTCCAGGAGACATTAGTCATTGTTGGGGAGCGGAGTGCACGGTCCTATTGACGGTGCTAGGCTCAAAGATTGGCTCCGTGCAACCAGTATGGAGCGGAAAATGGTCCGGAGGCTGACTTGTTTACGCCAGGTACGCATGATTTCCTAATTAGGCATGAATGCTACTGCTCCCACAATTGAAGGAAAGTGGGTCGGCTCAGCTGATGAAACGCGACTTCCATCCACATGCTTCCCCGTCTTGTTCCCTGGGGTATAAACTGGATATGTGGTGTGTGGGTGTAACTATGTGTCGTGCAGCGAAAGCCACCCATGCTTCCAATCAATCCGGCGTTAACAATCAGACATGCCAAAGTATCGGACATCTCTGGTAGATGTTTTTCTGACTATGCGGCTTTGTAGCCATTAGGGTGTATCTGGAAGTGTACCCGCTTGGCAGAGAGCGGACGGTAGCTTGTTAAATTTGAAATGACCCATTCTCTACACGAGGTGACGGGGATTATTCAGTAGTAATAATACTAATTTGTCAGCTCTGCGCCGTAACGGCGCTTCACTGCTGTGTGACCACCACTAGTCGCACACGGGCTTATACCGCGAGGAAGCCGAGCCCTACACGGATTCGAACCCGCGCCGCAAGACTACGAGACAAGCTCCTTACCTCATAGAAACTAATTGTAGGTGTAACCAAACAGCATAGCCAAGGATGTGTTGCATTTATTATTCAGTAATTGAGGTGAATCAACACAATTGCGGTTCCTAGGGGAGACTGTGAATCAGTTCGGCTATAACAACACCCGATATTCCCATGGAGTGTCCGTTAGGACGTCAAATTCAATGATAGGTGGTGTTTAAATGATGTGCCAAGGAGCATCCAAGACATGTGTATATATGTTTGACTGTAGAACAAATAAAAAGGGTTCTTTAACACCACTTGTTACAGAAGTTTTCTATTCGAAGCATTTCTTGCATGGTCTAGGGGAATCAATCAGTATTCTTGGTGTCCGTCGGTTATTTTCCCCCAAGAATGTATACGTCCTTTCTTCTACAGTCCTTTCCCTTGGAAAGACGCTGAAACCGAAAATGCAGGAGTAGCTGCCTACGAAAGCGGGGAACTCAGCGAAACGTGTGTCACGAAAAGGATGAACTCAGCTTCACTCATGGACTGGGCCGAAACAATCTTACGACAAAGGTACGTATGCAACGAGGTGTCATTAAGAGCGGTTTTGGCCTAGTGAGATGTATGCGATCATGGCAATACGGCTCCGGTAACTGGGTCCTGTAGTTATTACTCTGCATAGCTCGATCCTCGAGTGTGGAGATCTGCATTGGCTCCAAGTTGCACTGCGTCCGACCTCCGGAAATTGGCATGGAATCGGTTAGGATAAGTTTTATAAACCACTTTTGCGGCACCGAGCTAAAACATAAGCTTTGCATCCCACCGTTCGATATCAGCATTGAATACTAAAAAGCTTAGAACAAGGAGAGCTCGGAAGCAATAAAACGGATTAATATCTCGGGATCATTGAAACTTAGCTGGAGAACCAGCAATTGGTCAAAAAATTACTCTTCGGGTAACGGATTAGGCGGGAACCAATCGCTCCATACTGTAAGGCCATTTGGAAGAATCTCGGAACTCGGTAGGACGGTAGGAAATGGGGCTTAACCCGACACGGCTAGTTAACTAGGATCCGAGTACCGAAATGCAATGCGTCCAGTTACCATTAAATACATAATAGACATTACTAGACGAAAGTCAATGCAGAAACAGAACAAAACTAGAAGCAAGCAGAGTACGAATTTAGGACTGCTGCATGAGAAGCTTAGCAAGCCTACGAAATCGACCGAGTACCGCAGTACCATAAGCTTTGCTTTTGCTCGATGCCAAAAAGAACAATGAGCAATAAGTTAGCACAGATGAAATTTGCGTGATTAACAATTCCCGTAGAATGGTTACGATGATATGTGGCATCAGCTCAAACACCTACCGCTTTAAACACGGCTGCATGCAGATGTTATGCAGTGGGAATTAGAACGTTACTCTATACAACAATGTGCAGAACAGCTGTAGTTGCTTTTACCTCATTTCCTAGTATCTACTTGGTATGTACATCCAACATGAAACTATGTGAGAGCTATTCCATGGTAGCAGGTCTATGTAACCAAGTGCTGAGAGCTAGCAGCAACATCCACTCGCTTTTTAAACTATGCAAATTAGGAAAACAAACAACTGAGTTTGAGTGCGAGTTCCAAAGTTGATAAACCTGGAGAGAATAGTAACTCCGTCGGCATTCTAAGCGGTTGTATTTTTCATTCAGCTTCAAACGGTTACCTCTGCTTTTCAGCAACTAGTGGCTTACGTGAGTTGGGTATGTAATATTGGATCCGCCAATATGAGATCTCCGCGTTGCCTTCGGTAATATCCTCTAAATGCTCCCAATAACCAGTCTCTATTGACAGGGGTGGTTGTGTAAACCATTAACTTTCTTCGTTATCTTGCTCTGCGGCTTCTCTATCAATATGAGCTCGCGCTGCAACCAAGGTTGCCGAGCGTGGGTGGCAAATACTGCATAAGGACGCATGTAAAGGTTTTGCACAATTGCAAGACTGGGGTCAAAACTTCCGACCACCTTCCACCACAGACCGTTGTACTAGTTGCATTATTTTGCAGTTAACTTGAACTGCTCACAACACCTGAGGTCATTCTGTGCTAAGCATACTAATGTTCCGATCTTGGCGACTGGTATACAACCTGGGTGCTCTGAACCTGTAAATTAGGCGCACATATTGTCTATATAAACAACCCGTTATTCTGTATGTTGAATAGTAAGGGATTCTGAAATGGTTCTTTTAAATTCGCGTCGAGCTTGCACTGGGACCATTGTTAGTTGTCCGGTCCCTTGCCACTTCTTGAGATCTGTTGCGAAGAACAGATAATCAGAAGCAGTTGACCTCGCTAGATAGTTGATGAGGAGTAAAAATAGGCAATACCCTGAAATCGAGTCTTGTGGTACGCCGCACTTTAGCTAGATTGCCTGGGACAAGGATTCCCAGACACTTGCCTTCAACCGATGTCTTTACAGTAAATTGTTTATCTACTCCAGGATTGGGTCGCCACTGCATAGTTGCAAAGGTTGAGGGAGAAAATTCGATGGTATAACGATTAAACGCTTTTGAGAAGTCCAGTGAAATGATAATAATTCCAACTCTACCACCAAGTTTTTTTTGGTAAAGCTACGTTGTGCAATTAACAGGTTAATAGTACGTAAGCGGTCTTGGAGGAAGCTATGTTGCTCTGGGACGATTATCTTATGGTTTTCCAGCTCCTGCATCGGTACAAATACTATGATTGATTTCCTAGCTTTTGAGAGAACAGGTAGCATCTATCTCGGACTGCAATGGATAGGGTCTGTCTAACTCTTGTGAATAGGAGTGACAACCTCTCGTTCTCATGTCGGTGGAATTTTGTTCGCCTCTAGACAGTGCTAGATTACTGAATGTTCACTGCAGACCCTTCGGCTGAATGCTATGGAGTCCTGGAGGACTAAGAACACGCAAATACAACAGATTCTTCAATTCAGATTCCTCAGTGAAGTTGATATTGAATGAGCTTAACGATGGGATAGCAGAAAAAGAGACCCAAGTTCGTTACCATTCGGAGCGTATGGGAGCAGAGGATTGGCCAACCATTGAGTTTCCTGTGATGATCGCATGTGCCCGCTAATTGTAACGCGTGGTGGGATTCCACCGTACGAAAGCCATTGACGTGTGCATACTCGAGTTTGCGGCTCGTGTAGAGTCGCTTCATTACTTCTTGCCGATGTGCAGCATTGTCCTCTCAGATCACCTTCGCACAAATTTACGCTGTACCACATATGAAGTTCAGCGTTCGGCAATCTGGGTGTCCCTGTGAAATCGCAAAAGCCAAGTAACTTTAGAATCCAAATTTTCGTGTTTTGCTCTCCAGACAGGTCTTAGTACTGCTTTGTCGCTGAAAGAACTTCTTCTCTGATGTATGCGTTACTAGTGTGCTTGACATCTTTGTGAATTTTTCCCATGGGACTTCTGATGGGTATTCACTTTAGATGGTCTCAGATCTCTCATTAACAAGCATGGATAATATGCAAATTGCTTGACAGTATATACGTCATCATCCTCTTCTTCTGGATCTGCCGCATAACATGGATAGTCAAACCGGGGTGAAAGACGATCACCGGGATCCAGTGATGTGCTTGTAACTATTCCGTCGATCATAATTTGTACATTGGTGGGCAAAAGATAAAGTATCGATGGTTTGTTACCAGTTCAACATCTGGTGCCAGAAGTGACCTAACTGTACAGAATGTAACTGGAAATTAGCTCTTACAAACAGGATTTCAAATATGCACTGGCATTTCCATTTCAAGCACATTAGAGTCGCTAACGATAAGAATGTGACTATATGAGTTGTTTAGCGCAACATTCAAAACGTGGTTCAGTTTGTATTCAGCTTCAAACGCATAGAGTTTGGTGGACGGTAAACTACAACTACTACACACTGTCTTTGTTCCACAATCATCACCGGTACCAAAGCGAATCAAGGGCTTGATTTCCGGGGCTCAATTAGTTCACGATGAAGGTCAGTTTTGTAGTAAAAAATTACTGCGCCCCCCGTACCACTTTATTGTTCCGAAGCAGCAACGTACTAGATAAATTGATTGCAGAATCAGTTAACACAGGGCCTTGTCAGGGTTCTGTAATCCAGTTGAGATCTTTCGGTCGGGTCAACTTCCTAAAAAAGGTCGTGTGCATTAGCGTGCTGGCAGGATAGAAATTAGGGTGTTGGAATTACGGTGGTGTATACTTCGGATTAGTCTTAAGGCCGACCGTTTGACGATCAACAGCGAGTCGTTTTGGGAAGTCATTGGTTTCTGACTTTCAGTAAGACTAACTGGTAGCTCAGAGCGTTCCGGATCTCGATGTTTGCCCGTACTCAGACGTGCCTTGTAGGACGCCGCAAATGATATTGTTTCGGTTTCTCCTCATGACTGCGCAAACAGTCCTTTGACTGAAGCTTGGATTTCCACGGGGTCTCTTCACTCCTGGAAGTGCACCTATTGCCTTGAACTGAATTGTAGGTAGCAGCCTGATTCGAAACTTTAACCAGTTGTCCAAGAAAATCTCTACCGTCCCTTCCCTATGTAACATCAGGTTCATTAATCTGGAGCCAAATTCCCTGTAACTAGTTGGTGAAAGAATTCGCGTCAGCCGTGTGACGATGGTATTGTTTAGAGAGTGTTTTGTCAACGCGATACCGCTGCTTCCCGCTATATGATAGTGACCAGGAGGGTGCTAAAGCTCAGAATCACCATGAACAATTGTGATTTTAGTGCTCTCTTTTTTGAGGGTCGTCTTGTTAGTCCGCTTCGTTCGGACTCCCATTGCAACGGATGACGGGCATTATGCAAAACCCACTCAGTGAGCTGCAAAGGCAATAGGATGACCGTCGCTCTCTCAGTGTTATCCGAAGTGGAGTCAGCTCAATGTGGCGCAGCGAATTGGGGCAGCGGTTTTCTTGTCGCACTGTGACGGGTTCAACCTGAATACCGACATCTTCGCAAATAGCATTTCAATAGTTGTAATCGTCCAGCAACTTATCTTTTATTGTGCTAGATCGGGATTCAGGAGCGTTAGAACATAAGAGAGTTAACGCATTGTGGTTCCGTCTAACGCACGCCGGTTTCAAAATTGTTGGTGATGTTCGGGCGGTTCAATAAGCGGTAACGAAGATGACAGTTAAAGCTATGTTGCACCGCTAGGGCACAGTAAAAAATAATTTAGACATAAGGGATGTCCTTTTAGTGTTATTATCGAGGTAACGGATGCCTAGGTTGCTTAGTTTTATCTGCACTGGAATGTCTCCTGCTCTGAACTACTGGTGCTCTAGGTAAGTTATTAGGGTGAAAACGGCCACATTGAATGTGACTTATTCACTTAAGGAGTTAGATTGTAGCAGAAAAAGTGGGAGATATTTGGTGCAGCAAACACAGTAAACATTTCTACTCGACCTATAGGCAGAGCTCAGGGGTTGTTGGTGAAATGCTGTTGTGTTTCACTCATAGGCCGGAGCTCTGAAACTCGATCTCATCTCAAGTATTCAACACAACTGCACAGATGACAATTAAGGTGGCCTTGTATATGGGACAAAAGCAGAGGGCACCAGTCACATTGTTGTGCGTCTTGGTTTCTACTTGGGTTGCACCAAGGCCTTTTGGTTGAAATGTCGTGGCACAGTGACCACAAGTTAATCCTCCCTGGACTACCTGCTCGCTACTCAATACGCCAAAGATACCGCCAAGCTGAATCATGTTTGGTGAACATAACTGTAATTGGACACTGCCCTTTACCGAGCCAGTGACATCGATGGTGCGTGATCAGCACGATCGGTGTCCTAGTTGCGCACCTATCCTTCGGTTATTGTAGGCGGGGTTAACCACGAAGGCCACACAAACGCGCGAGGTTTGGTCGCTTACTCGATCGACGGATTCGTCTGGGGTTGAGCCTTCTAGCTGGTTTGTATTTGGCAAATGTCAGCGGCAGTATGTCAGCGCTGGGTAAATGTGATGAGAAACCATAACTTAAACCCTAGCTTTCATAGCACTGTCACAAGGGAGTAGGTTTGAAACCGTAGAACGGCCGACAAGCTCCTGTATCAAAAGCAGCTGAGCACAAAGTGTGCAAAAACAACTGGGGTTACAGGAATCCTGATCCATGGGTTTTAATTCCGTCAGAAATGTCCAACAAAGGCCGTAATTTAATCCTTCTCAACTACGTGTCTCGTTACTGCGGTGGGTGACGATGTGTTGGCTTGAACCCAAGACACAGCAGGCGCACAAACACCATGCTACTGTTTCTTTTGTTTACCCAACAGTGTGTTTCAAGCTGCCGCTGTATCAATAATTGTGAACCAATCCGGGATGGTAACAAGCGTCATACCAACTAAGCACTTCAACCGGCTTCTCACTGTACATTTTCGTTGCTCATTTTGGGGACAATGACAAGGTTACACCAGCAGAGGCAGGGTCAAGATAAACACTTAACTGCGTGGTAGCCGACCTTCGGGTACTCATTAGCATGTTTTGCGATCTGCCCTCTAGTAAACACCTAATGTTATACCGTTTCATATAATGGCAGATACTGTGCAGACCCAGATGAATCTCACCGATCTACAAATTAAGCTAACGAACGATCTAGTCTTCAGGGGTGACGAAATTACGAAACTGGATGAACTATTGAACCATATATTGGATGCGTTCTGATTACTGGGACAGGTGCAACGATGGCTCAGTCCTGCAGTGATATTATATTTTTAAGGTTGTGAAGCTTATGTCAGATAGTGTAAGGCCTATCATTAGTCTGTCAGAAAATATTCAGTACCAACTGAGTCGGACTCATGGAATATCGATTATCTGGTACAACCGTTGGCTCTTTTGAAGCGGAAATGATAGAAATACCTATAATCTCCTTGGTCGCAAATATGATTAGAATGGATGACAAAACGCACTATTAGCGTAGCCAAGCCGCTTTACTTCCTCTAATGACTGTTAACTGAAGTGACGTGGGGAGGACGAGCGAATCAATGGCATGAACAATGCCTATTAACAGCGGAAAACAAGGAATCGATGCGCTAATAGCAATATGAGCAATTTTGGTCTGGGGCATTGTTTTGTTTGGTGGACACTAAATAAGGCGATACGAACGTTTTAACTAGGAAGTGACGCTTCCAGTGTGAACAGACGTTGCCCGTAAGTGATTAGAACGACCGACAGTCATCATGTCCTTGTTAGATGTTGACTATAAAATAGCGTTCCTGGTGCTGCTGGGTTTCCGAGAAGTGTCACTCGTGAACTTTCAGTTCACTTCACCCAGTTCATCAAATTTGTATCCCTCCTCCTACCAAGGAGGGATGAGTGTTAAGGTCAGAACTCGTCCTTGACTTCCACTGGATTGCAGGCTAATCGGGTGGGGCCTGGAAACAAAACCATACCTCCTATCTTATCCTCCATTACTGTCTCTGATAGACGGTGTACATCAAATCATGCGTATAAATTAGTGCGGGCTGTATTTCCCGCTTCCAATGAATGTAACCCTGATGACTGCGGTCACAGACACGAAGAATACACTCACCATTATTGGATTCCGAAGAGGGTGGTAGAAAATTCAACAATGCACCACAGATCAGGGTGAGTGGTTCATGGGCATCAACGGCAGCAGTTAAAATAGGGTGTGAGTCAGTACTACGTGTTGGCACAACCTACTGGGGGCCCTGATAAGCAATGCAGCCGCTGGCTCCAAAGACCAGTTGAATACACAGCTGATACATGGACTAATATCGGCGACATTCACTTACTGGCTGGTAATTGAAGTAAGGATACACGAAAATGAATACCAAAGGAAGAACAGGATACATCCTCGCACAGAGAACTAGCGAATGAATGGTGGTCTGCGGCTGTTTAGCCCTGGAGGCTGTTTTGTTCCAGACTGCTCATTAATAGTAGTTTGTACAATGGTGAGATACACAGGTTGTGGGGAATAAGTGTAGCTCTTGCTTGTGAATAAAGCTCACAAAGAGAACCGTTAGGGGACTCGATAACCTGGGGCTGTACGTGATCCAGAACTTTATGCTTAGTTTTTCTATGAGTTCAATTCAATCGCAGATGTGATTCCGTGGGTTTGCAACTTATCGGAAGGGAGCTAAACGATTGGAGGAGAATAGTACCAAGTCATTAAAGCAGAACTGTCCTCTTTTGTCATCGAAAGTAGCTTGTAGCGTTTATACTCGGCGCTGATACAACTTGACCTACGCGCTGTAAAATATGTGTTATACGGTGGTGTTTGTTGTAGGGCGTGACAGCTATGGCTTCCAAACGTTTCATAAGTAGTAGGATAAATTTATCGCTGTCTGGTCTGTAATCACTAGCTCCCCCCAAGGCTCCTAGAAGTAGTCGTTCAGAGTAATCCAATGGATTATGAAAACACGCAAACTGCTGCATTCCTTCAGAGAAAGGTATTTTTGTAGTAGTACAATTATATTTTACGGTAATCAACTGGGGATTAGCCGACCATCTCACTTCTCTTGGTGAAGCACATGGGCTATTAGCACAGCAAAATCCCCTGACTACATACGTAGTCATTAGCGAAGAGGCCCTCTAAGTTTACTCGTTTCTGGTTGACTCTAACTTTCTTGATGCGCCTGCGGTTGTTGAGTTGTAAACTGGTCAACACGCTGTCTCAGTTCGGTGTACGATTGCGGAACAGCTGCCTAAGGTAGCCCGAACCCATTCATCATACCCGTTTTGTCTTGACCTCACTACGACTGTTTACTTAAGCACGGAAGAATATTCATGGTAGACACTGACAAATGTATAGTTACTGGCACTGTTTTCGCCAAAGATGCTCGATAACTGAACGATACTTGGTAAGGAACCGCCGCAGTATGGGAGCTCTTCATTGATCATATTCTTTATTTGCAATTTGGAACGACGGCAGCTCTTAGCAAATCGCCGTAGATGCTAGCATTAGGAGTTTTTATATGCTTCCCGTTGCCTTTGAATAAGCTGTAACTCTAACTGAACTAAGCAAGACAGTTGGTACGCCGCTTTTAGCATTCAGTAGACAAGCAGTTGAGTTAGATTTCAGGGTCTAATGCTTACAAAAGCAGTTGCTACCAGTCGGCTAGTACTGGTCTTGGAAATCAGATCAGGAAAATGGAGTCAAGCGTAGAGTCATTAATTATTTAGTGTGAATCAAGGTTATCAGCTGACACTGAACGAAGCAGCAGGCCGGAGAAGTTAGTGCCTGGGCTATGTATATCTAGCAAGCTGTTTACAAGATTTCTGCAAACCATCCAATTATATTTTGTTGAGCTGATACATGCTTAAGCAGGAAATCTTTCATAGTGCAGTTGATATCGGTGATTTGTCCAAATATGATTTCACACGCAGTGACTTTTGTACACAGAATTTCTTAAGGTTTTACTGAAGATGCGGATATGGTTTCACCAATTTTGCAACGCCGATCTTTAGTGAAGTCCTTCGTTCCAGCAAACGAACTGCTTCCGTTGATACAGACTTGGCTTATTTTTCCTGAATTCACAGGAGCGTCACACGAGATCGAAGGCGTGATGAATTCGTGAAACTGTGGCAAGCACTTCCTACGCGTGTGGAAAAATTGGTGGTCGAGTGATGTGCATCAAAGCTGTTCCAGTGGAAACGTCAATGAGTTCTGCATAATGAAATATG